GAGGAAGCAGGCTCCCTGCAGAGCAGAGAGCCCGATGTGGGACTCGATCCCAGGACCCTGAGATCATGACCTGAGCTGAAGGCAGAGGCTTAACCACTGAGCCACCCAGGTGCCCCCACAATGACATTTATTGAGACCAAGAACATAGGAGCACGGGCAAATTTACTTGCCCCCAAAGACGGTTTTCAGTATATTACATGGGCTTCCGTTCTTGCGAAGGTCTACACACTGTGAAACCTGACAGCCTCTCTAGACTGCACCACTTCTAGACGTGATTAATCTCTTAATAAGGTTTAAACCTCTTAGGGAGTAACTACGCTAATCTAATTTAGTAGCCATACAAGCCAACTAAAGAAGAATGTGTTTGTATTGGCTGAAGGGACACAAGCGATGGAAAAGGGCTCTAAAATCAGGTGATGAGGGAGCAATCATACTTTTGAAATCAATATACTGAAGACTTTAGAATCGGTACCTTCCAAATAAACACTGCAAGTTAAGTTTTTTTTTTTTTCTAGAAGGAATTAATCAAATTCAAAACTGTTTACATTCTCCATGCTCATTAATAGCAGCGGTGTAACTCAATACTCCCTTGCTACCTCTGATATTACAATGAATTTCCACGGATGCATTTTCAGAGAGCTTAGGCCTCCTCTTAAAGAAAAATAAGTATCACTTCTTGAAACAACCAAGAGAAACGAACTGCTCCAGCTGGTTCAAGGGACTGCCTGGAGAGAAAGGCAGAAACTGGAAGAAAATCAAGTTTTGACTCAGTAGCCCATTCGGATGTTTGCAGTAGGCGGTTGATGGTTGCAACCATCTATAAAAAGTTCTAATTTTATTTTCTACAATATGGAAAAAGATGGTGTTTAGCATCGTCCTCTAGCCCAATGGCCTAACTCCCGAAAGATCCGTAGGTTTAACATCGCCAGAACAAAAAATTTGATCACCTGATCCTGACTCAGATGCCCCAAGTCCCTTCCATTCCCAAATCCTTTGGCGTGGCCCAATTTTCACAAGCTCTCGAGAGAAGCACGGAATCCCAGGAAGCCTGTTGATACAATTCACGGGCTCCGGGTAGCATAGGGCTGGGAAAAGCTCTGAGACTCTAGGAAACTACTCCGGCTTCCTTCCCCTTTTCCCTCATAGAGTAGGGAAGGCCGGGGGGGGCCCCCTTCTTCCCGCATACCGTTCCCCAATAACTCTTCCCTTATGAGACCAGGCCCTAGGAGCCTTGTTCCTCACCTGACCCTTTCGAGGAACACGCTTTCCAGCTCGAACTTTACCTGCCTGAAGCCCGCCGCTACTCCGGTGCGCTAAGCCCCCACCGAGGAAAATGGAGTCGTCGAACCGAGACTGGGAAAGGATAGTACGGACCCACCGCACGGCCCCTCCGCCGCCACCGCCGCCGCTGCTGCGTCAACGTGCTACGTCACTTCCGGCTCCCTGTCACTGGGAGTGGGCGGGCCATTTCTTTCACTCTTCTCCCACCTGGCTCTCGGGGCTTCGTTTAGTAGGGCGCGAAAACTGGCCGAAACGGCTCAGGAAGGTAAGGGTCACAGAGACTTGGGAACAGAACTTGGGGATCGGAAGCGTCCGGACGCACGGCTTCCTCGGGCCGCTCTAGCCAAAGGAACCATAAAGAGTAAATTAGGGCTTCCTCATTTCCTCCTCTCTGTGGTTCCGCCGGCAGCTTCCGGTTCCGGGGAGGGGCCGAGTTTTCTTCGAAGATTAGGGGCTCTGCGCTTCGGCTAGGATGGTTGTGGTGTCGCTACTGTTGTTGGGGGGTTTGTGGAGTGCTGTGGGAGCGTCCAATCTGGCTGTCGTTACATGCGGCTCGGTGGTGAAGCTACTCAATACGCGCCACAACGTGAGACTGCACTCACACGACGTGCGCTATGGGTCAGGTACTGCCACCCGGTTAGGTGGGTTGGGAGGGGCTGGTAGGCTCTGGAGGGGGCGGGGCCAAGAGAAAATTTGAGGGGTGTGGTCTGGGAAGGTTAGGGGAGTCCCCGGGAGGTTCCTGAGGTCTGGAGGCGGAGAATCGGAGAAGTGGGCAAAATATCAGCTTCTGTCGGGTGAGCTGCGTATCGGGCACATTACACGTATACTTTTTTGGACTTATAATAACATTCCTACGAGGTAGAGACGATTGTTATCCTCATTTTACAGATGAGGAAACAAACTCAGATAAGTCGCATGCTCAGAGCCTTGCAGCTAGTGAATGACAGAGACGGGGTTCGAACCAAATCTGTCCAGTTTCTAAGCCTGCTTTCAGCTACTCCAGGCTGGCACTATTCAGTGCGGGAAAGACAGACATGTAGAAAATTACAGTAAGTGCTGTATCTCTGAAGTCTTGAATTCCAAGACCTCACTTTTTGACTGTATCTTTCTGTTCTAGCTGTTTTGCATCTTACACTTGCTCTTCAACCATTTTCCTTTGGCCTCTTTTTATTCAAACTTTACTCTTCTTGTAAAGAATTTAAAGCACTCATTGGAATTGGAGAGGAAATCGTTAAGAGGGCTTTTTAACATAGGATATTAAAATGCTTGGTTTGGGTTCATTTATAATTTAGCAATTATTTGTGGGTTCATCCATTCAGTATAGATATAATAAACTGTTATTACATCCTTAATAGTAATCTAGATACAGGAGATATAATAGTGAGCCAGTCACCAAGTTACAGGAAAACCAGAACCAACCAAAAAAGAGAAAAAAGTTCAGTTAGTGAGATGTGAGATGTGAGATGCATCTAAGATGATTGCTAGATTTCTGTATTGGATGTCTGATGATGCTATCAGTTAAGAGAGGATGGGGGCTAGTCTGTGGTTCGTGATTCTCAAAATATATCTGACTAGTTAGACTAGGAAAGGACTGAGTAGTCATTGTTGGGATGTTTTATAATCCTAGCAGCCATTCAGTGAACACTTGCTATGTGTCCAGCTCCCCACTTTTTAATTTAATCTAGATTCCTAGTTTGGCTCTACAAATGTGGGAGAAAGGCCTGATAATAGGAATAAAGGCCTGATGATAGGAATCTGTAGATTTGAAAAATTCTTCAGGTGCCTCTAATGGGCAGTCAGATTTAAGAATCAGATTCAGTCTGTGCTGAGCCTGGGGTAGAGTTAAGTACGACGTCTCCGTATTGGGTGGGGGTGGTGTACTGACGAGAGAATAAGTGAGAATTGTGTAAGATGCACTGTGATTCTTAATCTGGTGTCAATTTGAATCACTTGAAAAATCTGTTGAACCACATATAAATGCCTTAGTCCTGATCTCTGATAAATATTTAAGAATGGATAAGGCTAGAATTTTGGGTAATCCCAAGGTTTAAGGGTGGGAGAGGAGTCTACAGCCATACCACCCTGAAGGCAGTCCATCCTGTCTCAACCTTGATTGATGGGAGAGGAAGTGAAGGGTTGAACAGAACAGGAAAAAGTACAAGATACAAAGTATAGACTATGTTTTAGTGACGTATGGCAATGACCCAGGACCAAGAGAGCTGGACGGCATAAATCAGAAGTAAGAAGGGAGGCTTGGTTTGCCTTTTTCTTTCTTTTTCTCTCTCTTTCTTTCTTTTTTTTTTTTTTTAAGATTACTTATTTATTTATTTTGACATACAGATCACAAGTAGGCAGAGAGGCAGGCAGAGAGAGAGGAGGAAGCAGGCTCCCTGCTGAGCAGAGAGCCCAATGTGGGGCTTGATCCCAGGACCCTGAGATCATGACCTGAGCCGAAAGCAGAAGCTTAACCCACTAAGCCACCCAGGCGCCCTCTTTCTTTCTTTCTTTTTTTTTTTAAGATTTTGTTTATTTATTTGACAGGCAGAGATCACAAGTAGGCAGAGAGGCAGGCAGAGAGAGAGAGGAGGAAGCAGGCTCCCTGCTGAGCAGAGAGCCTGATGCGGGGCTCGATCCCAGGACCCTGGGATCATGACCTGAGCTGAAGGCAGAGGCTTTAACCACTGAGCCACCCAAGTGCCCCACTTTTTTTTTTTTTTTTTTTCCTTTAAAAGACCTTACGGAGTCATTGTGAGCTGAGTGAGGCAATAGAGAGAAGCTGGTAGTTTGGCTGTAACATTCACCCAGATATCTGGTGCAAGGGTGTAAGGTGTTAAGTGGTAAAGAGTGAGTGTTATCAAGAGGCTGTCAGGCCGGGCCAGGGACAGGAGGAACAGGCGAGAGTAACTAGGAGAGTGTCTCGAGTGCCTTTAAAGAATTGAGTATAGCCTAGGAAAGAGAATATCCTGGGAATGTATGTGAGAGAGTGGTCTCTGATGTAACTTGACAGAAAATAAAGTTTCTTGGGAGGCCATGTGGTAGAGTGGTTTAGAGTGAGTTCTAGAGTTGGGCCATCTAAGTTCAAACCCCAACACTGTGTCTTGGTGCTGTGTGGCCTGGGGTGTACTATTCAGCCTTTCTGAGACTCCAGTGTATATTGGGGATGATAATAATATCTACCTTAGGGTATATGCATGTATCAAATAAGAATATTCAGGCAAAAGGTATGGATTGGTATCTGACATTTAGAAAGCACTGAGTACACATAGCTGGCTAGCAATTACTATTTATATATTTTCTTTTTTCTTTTTAAGCCTGTAGGTGTGTGTTTAATCTGGTACCTTTTAACCAGAATTTTATCTCTTTAGGCAGTATTAGCCAAATTTAGGGGACTTATGATTACTTTTATAACACATTGATTGATCACTCACAGGGCATTGGGGAGCTGCAGTGATTGCTTAGATTAAAGTTGACAGCAAAATCTGGTCTCCTTTTTATTGTGAAATGTGACAAAAGTTTTGATTGTAATACATAGTAAACATTTAAAAATATTAAACATGTTTCAATCATGTGACATATACTAGGGGCTACCCAGGTTATTATATATAGGTACATCATACTTGTGTTTCAAAAAAATGAACATAAGTTCATTCACTAAATAGTGCCCTTTGATGCAAATTGTTAGAGTTTTCTGATGTTGTACATATAAGTATAATTTATCAGACAAGAATACTGTATAAATATATTTAGTATTTCTCATGTATTTTTTAAATGTTATAGATGAAGAAATAACAAGCATAGGGTTTCCTCTCCACTCTTCCAAACCTGTTTTATAATACAGGGCCCATTATTGGCCTTAGGAAAGAGGGATTAGGTTGAGCTCGTTTTCTCTCTTTTTTTTTTTTTTTGGACTACAGGTAGTGGGCAGCAGTCAGTGACAGGTGTAACCTCTGTGGACGACAGCAATAGTTACTGGAGGATACGGGGGAAGACTGCTACAGTGTGTGAGAGGGGAACCCCCATCAAATGTGGCCAACCCATCCGGCTGACACATGTCAACACTGGCCGGAACCTCCATAGTCACCACTTCACCTCACCTCTTTCTGGAAACCAGGTGAGGTGGCATCCTGTGGATCACTGGTACCCTGTGCATTCGTTGCGTTGTCTAATATCTTGGTCCTTAGCCCTTTCTTTTCTGGGTGTAGATGTTCTTTTTTGTGCAGGCATGGAGAATTGGCTTTGTCTCATAAGTATGAAGGAAATTATTTCTGGTCAAAATAGAGATTTCACATCTAGGTGAAATCAAGAAATGAGAAAAGACAGAATAGGTATATATTGGCATATCATAAGTCATCTTTTTTTTTTTTAAAGATTTTATTTATTTATTTGACAGAGAGATCACAAGCAGGCAGAGAGGCAGGCAGAGAGAGAGGAGGAAGCAGGCTCCCCGCTGAGCAGAGAGCCCCATGTGGGGCTCGATCCCAGGACTCTGAGATCATGACCTGAGCTGAAGGCAGCAGCTTAACCCACTGAGCCACCCAGGCGCCCCAATATCATAAGTCATCTTGATAAATTCTGCAGCAAAGAAACCCAGTGTTGACACATGAAAAGAGCTCAACATCATTAATCATCAGGGAAATGCGAATTAAAACCATAGTAAGGTATCACCTTATACCTGACAGAATCGTATAATCAAAAAACAAGAAATAACAAGTATTGGTGAGGATGTGGAGAAAATGGAACCCGTATACACTGTTGGTGGGAATTTAGATTGGTGCAGCCACTTAAGAAAACAGTATGGAGGTTCCTCAAAAAATGAAAAATAGAAATGTCATATAATTAAGTAATTTTGTTATTGTATGTTTAACTAAAGAAAATGAAAACACTAATTTGGAAAGAAACGTGCACCCCTATGTTTATTGCAGCATTATTTACAAAACCTGAGATATGGAAGCAAACCAAGTGTACGTCAGTGGATGCATGGGTGACGAAGATACGGTGTATACGTATATACACAGTAGAATATTACTCAGCCATAAAAAGAATGAGATCTTGTCATTTGTAACAATATGGATGGACCTATAGGGTATTAGGCTAAATAAAATAAATAGGAGAAAGACAAATACTGTGTGATTTCTTTTATATGTGGCATCTCAGAAAACAAATGAACAAACAAAAAGTAGAATCAGACCTATAAATGTGGAGAACAAACTGATGGTTGTCAGAGAGGAAGGGGATGGAGAGATGGGCAGAATGGGTAAAGGGAGTGGAAGATAACAGGCTTCCAGTTATGGAATGACTAAGTCATAGGGATAAAAGGTATAGAATAGAGAATATAATCCGTGATATTGTAAAAGCATTGTATGGTGACCAGTGGTAGCTACACACTTATGGTGAGTGTAGCATAATGTATAGACTTGTTGAATGACTATGTTGTACACCTGAAACTGATAAAACAATTGTGTGTCAACTATATTCAAATAAAAAAAAAAACTGTGTCCAAAGTTCGAATAAAAATTATTTTAAATGAGTTCAACTAACCAACCACATTAGGAAAGTGAATTAAGTATTATGCCACTTTTTAATTTTAATTTTAATTTATTTATTTATTTAAAAAAGATTTTATTTATTTATCTGACAGAGAGAGAGAAATCACAAGTAGGCAGAAAGGGAAGCAAAAAGAGAGGAGGAAGCAGGCTCCTTGCTGAGCAGAGAGCCTGATGTGGGCCTTGATCCCAGAACCCTGAGACCATGACCTGAGCCGTAAGGCAGAGGCTTAACCTACTGAGCCACCCAGGCGCCCTTAATTTTTATTTTTTAACTATTTTTTTTTTTTTTTGTAGATTTTATTTATTTATTTGACAGACAGAGATCACAAGTAGTCAGAGAGGCAGGCAGAGAGAGAGGAAGGGAAGCAGGCTCCGCGATGAGCAGAGAGCCCGATGTGGGGCTCGATCCCAGGACTCTGTGATCATGACCTGAGGTGAAGGCAGAGGCTTTAACCCACTGAGCCACTCAGGCACCCCATATTTTTTAACTATTTTTTAAAGTAAGCTCTGTGCCCGGTGTGGGGCTTGAACTCACTGCCCCAGATCAAGAGTTGCATGCTCTACATGAGCCAGCCAGACACCCCAGTATTGTGCCATTTTTTTTAAAGCCTTGAGCTTTTAGGAGATATGAACTCGTTAATGAGGGCTTCCTTCCCACTGCCACTCTGCACAT